GGCGCGGGCGGTGGGAGGGTGGGAAGGGGAGGGGGCGGGGAAACGCCGGCGCTGGCCGGGCCTTTACATGAGGCGGTGCACCTGGGTGCCGCTGCTTGGCTCTACTCCTCCTCTCGCCGCCACAATACCCACACACAAACACAAACACCAACACACGCACATAGGCAGACAAACACGCACACACTGGTACACACACGCACACGCACACACTCACACACATGCACGCACCCACAGGCGAAAGTGCAGACCCGCATGCACCCCAGGCCCCTCCGAACCTGATTTTGGCCATGGGAAAGGACCCGACGTCCTTGAAGGCCGCGGCCATGAGCCTGTCGCGCTGGTGCACGTGCAGGTTGGCGTCCTTCAGCGCCTTGAGCAGCTCGCCTGGGGCCAGCAGGGTGGCCAGGCGCGCGGCGAGGAGTGCGCGTGTGTGTGTGTGTGTGTGTGTGTGTGTGTGTGTGTGTGTGTGTGTGTGTGTGTGTGTGTGTGTGTGCTCGTGCGGCTTTAGCTCATCCGCATGCACCGACGTATTATGTCCCAGCGTCTGGCTGACAGCCGCCACGGCTGGGTGTACGCCGACCACGCGCAATCAGGCCGACAGTCACATGATGCACTCCAGGCGGGTGTGTTGGGTGACGGGTCACGCCGCGCCCACCTGGGTTGTCCTTTTTTAGCAGGAGGCCCTGGTGCATGATCAGCAGCGCCAGGGCCACACGGAACAGAACCTGCAAAGAAACAGGGGTTTGCGAAACATGTTCCATGATTGAAACACACGACATGAAACATCAATACGTTTGTCGAGCGGCCCCTGTCACGGGGCTCCGCACCAATCTCCGCCGCAGCACAGCGCTGCTGCGCTTTTGCCTTGCTCCCACCACCTTTGTGCTGCTTTGGTTGCTCAGACGCTGGGTATGTTTGAACCAGGCTCTACCCCCTCCTGGTCGCTGGCACATGTCAGGCTTTGATCCTCAACGCCCCAATGCGGCCCTTGGGCAGCACTCGCCAGCAATCAGCAGCAAAGGATACACGTGTGGGCGCCAATCACCACGCCAGTCACGCCTGTGTGCCCACCCACGCACCCACCACCCACCCGAACAGCCACCCAC